AACGATGCGTCAAAAAGGGACGACTGCGTCCCCATCCCCGCCTCTGCCACCTCGCCGGCGGTTGCCGCAGCCGCAGCCGCGGCCGCCGCCTCCTCGCATCACGGCGGCACCAAGAGCAATCGCCTCCCTGCCAATCTGCTGGATCAGTTTGAGAAGCAAATGCCACTCCACCGGGATGGCTTCCACACGTTACAGTACCAGCGCACATCCACCACCGCCGAACAACGCAGCGAGAGTCCTGGCCGCATCAGACACCTTGTTCATTCAGTCCAGAAGCTCTTCACAAAGTCCCACTCCCTGGAGGGATCGTCAAAGATGAATGGCACAAAAGGCGACGTCGTCGGAGGCGGAGGATCAGGGGGTTACCATCATCACGGCCATCAGACAAACAAACACGGGAGCAAGAGGAGCAAGAGCAAAGAACGCAAGCACCGATCTGGCGGCTGGTGGAGCTCCGATGACAATCTGGACAGCGATAGCACCTACCGCACTCCCAGTGTTATGTCACGACAGCACGGGGAACATATCACCCATTGTTACCCAGATTCCATACACGGACACCACTTTGGAGACCTGTCACTCAAGGCCTCGAAGAGTAACAACGACGTCAAGTGCATAGCCTGTGACAGTATGGCAATGGCGCCCGAAGGCAAATTCATGAAGAGGAGCTCCTGGTCTACGCTGACAGTTAGCCAAGCTAAGGAGGCTTATCGAAAGTCATCGCTCAACCTCGAGAAAACCATGATGCACACAGACCTGAAGCCTTCACGGACCTGTCACTATCTACAGGTTAGTGTGAATGCATGATACAGTTACAGAATCACAAGCAATGTCTCATAAATTAGGGGGGGGGGGTTGTTGATTGCAGCCACAGGAAAATGTGGAATGTAATGCAAGGCAGAGTAATATTGGTGAACTCTGCATTTCCAATTTAACTAGGACTCAGATCAATATCCACAAACGCCCCAAAGGAAAAAAAATAAATAGTGACAGATTTATTGATTAGCAATGAAGCAAAGAGGCTTTTTGGATTCCCCAACGCTATCTACGAGTCAATGACTGCGTCCCTGAGACTGAGATCACGATATATTTAACCAGGATCCCCTTTTGTGTGGACACCACTGGGAACGATTGTGTTTTTTACAACACAACTGAGTCGATCATTGTCACAGTGAGACTGAGAACAAAGAGGTCACTAAAAGATCCACGTAAATACTGCAACTTTGCCAAATGTAGCCTTTTGAGTATTCTTTACTTCCTCGTGGGCGGGTCACTGTAAATGTTGTTGATCATCCGTATTAGCCTGCCCATAGTGTTGCTTCCAATAGGATACAAAGTAAAATATTTGCCAAAAGAAGGAGAAAACCTATTGACAAAATTAGCTGCACAATGCAATCAATTACTCCTGTCTGTAATTAGAAAGCCAAAGTGGTCTGAATATCTGCGCGCACATCTCGCTGAAGACTCCCAAGTAGCAGCTGTTGAGCGACTGTCAATACAGCAGCTCTCTGACTGGCGTTTAACAAGCTGATGAGTCAGCCGGTGGAGTCCCTCCAGCTGCCACCTGATCACATTCAGCATGCTCTCATGAGAATTTCTAAAGGTGTCGCACAAAAAGTAAAGCACAGTCATGACTAGAGATATCGTTTTCAGGTGCATTGGAAACATTGCTTTTCTTTATTCAAGACTTTGACACACCAGAACATTTTTTGATGTCACTTTTAGTGACACAATGGTGTCGTTCTCTCTGTGCTTGTACTCTGTCTCGCCTGGCTTTGTCCCAGGTCCAAAATCACAAATATTCAAAACTTAAGACTCTTAATTGTGTTCATGGTTGTGTGTCAAAAGCCCTGCATATGTTCCTGCTGCGTCTCGTCATTCCTTTTCTGCCCATCTGAGGCACGTTTGTCAAGTGAGGAAGTCTCACATGACTGAAAATTGGAGTAATCAGCCACTCGTCTCAGTGCTAGAGCCAACGAGCCTTATTATTGAGTAAAGTGAGTCACTCTTAGAGTGTTATCGGGACAATGTGCCCGAGTTTGTTTCGCTGTGCAGTGGATTTACTGCATGGACAAGTATGCGTGACCCACAATCATCAGAAAAGGGCAGATATGGAGAGCAGGATGTTCATTATATCAACCTTCATCGTAGCACACCTATGCTCAGGGCCGCACCAGACCGAGTGACATGGTTTGGGCCTCCTAATGTACTGCAAAGTGCGTTATTACATTTGCAGATCGAAACTGAAGTAGACTGGATCCAATACCCATGGGGTGCACAGAGAGAAACAAGTTTGTATTAGTGAAATGTTCTCTTTACAGCTAATGAGGCAAGAGCTTATGCAACTTGGAATACAATGTCTCAATATCTGAAACAGTCTTCGCCCTTGTTTGGCTAATTGGGCCACATTGTACTTGTAAATATCGCTCGTTTGCCAAGTCTGACACGTGGTCTCATCGAGGGGACTTGCACCTTTGTTCATCGCACAAATAATCGTGGCAATTCATAGATTCTAATTCCTGCCCGCCAGGTTCCTCAAGATGAGTGGGGAGGATACCCTGGGGAGAAGGATGATGAGATCCCATGTCGGCGGATGAGGAGCAGTAGCTACGTCAAAGCAATGGGAGAGGTGGATGATGATAGCGGCGATTCTGAAAGCCCCAAGACCTCCCCACAGAAATGCGTTCGGCCGGATGCTCTGGTCCTCAAGTCAGCCATGCAGAGACCCCATTTCGACACCCATAGGTAGGTCTGGTCCAATGTACCGCGTGACTATTTGTTTCCTTTTTTTTCATTGGTTTGTTTTATTTGAGCTAATTCTTAAAAACAAATCAACTGCAAGTGCATGGTGACAAATTAATCCTTTGCTGAATCGGATTCTATTATTCTGTCAGAAAAACCGAACAAACATTTCATTCATTTAAATTTCCCCTACAAACGATGGAAATTCTGTAGAATCACATCCCACCCATCCTTCTCGCTGCGTATGCTTTTATCGCGCATGTTGCTCTCCAGTGCTTTTTTTTCAGGCAGTGTGAAACAAAGCCAAAAATGTGAGAATGCAGGGAGGCGTCATGCATCTGCCATCCTTCAGCCCGCTCACTTCTATTTTCATTGGTGCTGTCACAGCAGGGTTCTGATTACTCCTACTTTAGTCCAAACAGACTTCTTTTGTAGCATTGGAGGGCAATCTAGTCGTGCCATATGGTTGAAGAGAAACCAGCATATATATATATATATATATACACACAGTATATATTCTATTCTCGCTCTCCACAACAGGAAATAAGTAGATCGGCACTATAGATGCCAGCTGACTTAAGCAATTTCTGGATTGTTGCACACCCGACTGAGTGGAAATTGATCTCAAGCTAGTTGCATGACAGTAAACTTCCCATGAGCCACCCATTGACCTCAATCAATAATGAGGAATATATTTTTCTCCCATTAAAAATGGTTTCATGTGGGCATCAGAATCAGATCAATCCTAAGCCTTTTTAATTGATGAAGGAATACAGCGAACCAGCAACGGCTTAATGAACAGGCAAAGGTGCCAGTCAGCAGGTCGCATAGTGTAATCCAATCGATGGTCCATGTGTGACTTCTTGTTTGTCAATTGCCCTCGTTCTTATTCAGCCGGGGCTACCGCTTGCAAACCATGAGAGACATGCGGGCCCACCCGAGTGTTACGTTGGATCCCGCCACCACCTTTCATCCGCCGCCCTTCCGCTCTCGCAACCAGAGTTACATGCGCGCTGTCAGCACCCTCAGTCAGGCTAGCTGCGTCAGCCAGGTGAGTGGCAAACGTGCATTTTCTCTAAAAGCAACCGATATATTTGTTTCATTTTACCGAATGTATCTTTAGAACGGTACAGATATTGAGACAGTTTTATTGGAGGTCGAGAGCTAATTGTGTTTTATGGACTGAGGTCAAAAAGCATCAAGTTGTTGACCCGTATCCATAATTTAATTTCCTCTCTGATTTACATCCAGACACACAACAGCATTTCATGTTCATTTGACAGTTAACCATTGCCAAATGTGAGGAGAAAAAAAAAGTTTTTTCATCAGAGAGCAAATCTGCATGTGTTGAAAAGGCCACTGATATACTGTATAAGTCACTTGTCATCCTGCAGGCCTAAGCAATAACGTAGCTGACGAACGTGCGAAAGAGCTAACTGCTACTTACGTCACAAGATTAGCGGCTAGGCACAGGGGCTGTGAGACAAAGCATCATAATTAACCACACATCAACATTTCCAGGTATTTCCCTTTTCATACGCTGCTATCAGTTGTGCGAGTCTGTTCTGGAGCTGCTTTGGACCCTGGTGGTTGCGACAGTAAAATGATTTGTGAAGTCCGTTTATGGAGAACAAGTAAGGAGAGGAAAATGTGTTTTTGTCCGAGATCGAAAATAAGCGTACCATCGGCCTACAATCTTTACTCGATTAAAGAATTGGTGTGAAACATTTACTGAGAATAGCAGTGGGATTAGTGCAGACTGATAATACCAGTCAACTGTTAAAATGCAGTTCTTATTATTAAGAGTAAAGGACACTATTGGAAGAGCTAATGGACCACTGGAAAGATGGTTTAGTATTAGATTTTTTATTTTTTATTTTTTTTTTGTAGAAATGGGTATGAAATAGTACTGTGGGGGAAGGGGTTTAGGGAATATGAAAAATTGCTGTGCAATCCAAAGCTAACATATGTCCGACTGTGTTTTGTTGTGCTCTATCTTCTGTTTTATTTGATTTTGACTTTCATGCAGTTTGAAGTTGGTTGGGAATTGTCAGTGGCATGTCCTTATGCTAACACTCCTTCATATTTGCTGTGCAAAGGGGAAGAATCAAAGTGAGAAAGAGAAAGGAAGAGGAAAAATTAAGGACTGCTATTCCTGTTTTTGTCTCTCAGGTGAGTGAGACTGAGATCAATGGCCAGTTTGAGTCAGTTTGCGAGTCCGTTTTTAGTGAAGTAGAATCCCAGGCTATGGAGGCCTTGGACCTGCCGGGTTCGTTCCGCACTCGAAGCCACAGTTACCTCCGTGCAATACAGGCTGGTTATTCCCAAGATGACGACTGCTTGCCTTCAATGACATCCTCCACTGTCACTTCAACTCTCAGATCCACAACAGGTAAAACAATAACCCGCTAAATGAGAGAGGGCCTAGACCACACATCCTCATGCATCCTATACATGACCACAAATTTGACATACCTACATATGTACAGTGGGGAACCCTTGATTCTCTGAGATGCCAAGCTGTTTTTCTTTTTTTTTTTCCTTTTTCTTTTTTTTTTTTTTTTGCATTGCCCTTAGATGGATTTGCTTGCGTGTCACTTTGCACGCTCCATGCATCACTCGATTGGTTACCTGTGCATTTGCAAAGCTGTAAACCGGCAAAAGGGATGGGAGGGTCGCATACACTCACCACCACACAATAGCACAACACGGCACAGCCACATGACATGGCATGTCCACGAGAAAAAGGCCCTGAGCATGTGAAACTGTGGTGTTCTGATGTATTCGCTATTTGTTGTGAGTCTCACAGAGGGCTGAAAGAAGGGCACGGGTAAGGGGTCGGGGACTGGTAGATTTTTTTAGAAAACTTGGATAATAAACTACCTGCCCCTCCCCCTGCTCCGATGCACCTCCACATTAGGATCTGGTCATGTAATTGGCAATCTAAAAACTAGAACCATACGATAACATTAAGGTAAGTCAACAAACGCTAGAGGAAATACACATATATGCTGGTTGCACAAATGAACCGACCTGGGTCATGGTAACGCTGATTTGCCTTTGGCTATTTGAGGTATTGCTGTACTGTGTGACATGAAATGTCTGCAGAGCACCCTCAGGCACACTGATGTACACGTGTCTATCACGAGACCGACCACCGGTTCATCCAAATCAAGTGAAATATCCAACTCCACAAACTCCAAATTGGAAATTTTCTCCATAATTCCGGGACACATTTTTATGTGACACGATATTTGCAATACTGTTCCAAAAGTTAGGTTTCTTTGTGCAAGCAGAGCTTTTGCAGCAGTTCCCTCACCAATTGCATTTGGTGTTTGCCGTAAAGAGTAAAGCTATGAACCCTATTGAAACATTTTTTTTTCTTGAAATATGTGCACTTATGCTCACTATACCCTGCTTTTTGTACTTGACTTTTCTGACCATTTCAAATGGAAAAGAATGTGGGTTTTGGTTTCCCTGTTCAATTAGGATTTTGGTCATTTATTTCAACCTATCAACTTCAATTTGGTTTCCTTCTCCAATTTCCCCTCCGTGACAGAAGCACTGAGGACAGATTTGAGTGCTCTCCAATCCCACCGTCTTATTTGCTGAACTTGAAACAGGCCAAACAATCCAACTTTCGAGGACTCAATGGCAAATGTACAGCTAACGTTTTGCCGACGCGGAGGAAGGGCTCCGTGGGTGGCGATTAGCGATCTCCCATTCACGCTTTACCTCTCCTATGGTGCAATACGACCAATGTCCCGATGGAAGAGTGGCCTAGAAATTAATGTTACCTGGATTGGTTGGGACAGAAATCGATCCCTTCCAATAACGTTTTTCACGGTAGCATACGAGCAGACCTAGTTTATGTCTGAATCGTATGAACGTGTTCCGCCGAGGATAGCGGGAGGGGAAGGGATCCCGTGTGGTGCTCTGTAGGGCAGATGAGCGGCAAACCCCTCTCCATTTGACCAACCATCTCGAAGGATAACCAGGGGGAAAGAACAACTGGAGGCATCAGTGATGGTTGTTGCAGGTATTCTATTGATACTGAAGCATACATATATCTATGCATATGTGTTTGCACTGCCTTCTCAGTGAATAAAATAGCTTTTAACTTATAGACCTTCTATAAGGGAACTGGTAGACTGACTCTTGTCATCTGGAGCAAACAACTCACAAAAACTCACTCAATTTCTGCGCTGGATCAAGGACGCAGGCAAACGCAACGCTGGCTTTTGTGAGTTGTTTGTATGAAGTGTGCGGAGATATTTGTAAATGTAAATATTTGAGAGATGTCTACTTCCCAATAATCCAAATGTTTTCATTTCGCAATCATAGAGTCGCCACTGTCTCAGATGTCTCATATGTGAACGTCTATTTTTTTTTCTTCTTCTTCCCATGAAAGTGTGGCTTCTTGTTAAAAGCAGGGGGCGGCAAAGTATACCCGTTGGCATTGAGTCTGTCAGCTGTCTTTGACTGTGGGATTGCAGCTCTCCCTTGTGCAGCCATCAAGTTGGGAGTAGTGTGCGGGGGGGTCAAATTAGTCACCTTGGACCTAATATGTTCAATAGGGTTCATAACTGTTTTTTGGTCCAGTGGGTTGTGGATCTATCACGCTCTAGACATCTTTTTGTTTGCACTAAATGGCACTAAAGTAATAGCCTCACAGAAACCAACATTTTCAGGAACCAATTCTCAAATAATCAAGTGCTGATTTGATGATGATTGATGTGCTTGACTCCACTCTTTTCTGTGCTGTGCAGTAAAAAGATGGAAAGGAGCTTGTTATTCTTTGACGCGACTGAGAAGGCAGTGTAAAAACATTGTGAAAAGCCTGCAGTATGTGAGTTCTGTGACAACTATCCCGGTTAATTTGAGACGGCACAAAAAAAAAAAAAACAACAAAAAAAAAATACCTGAAGCCATAATGCAAACAAACAATGATTTGCATCACTAATTTTGTATGCATAACTTTAAACAATCCCTGATGAACCATTAAATTGCAGTGTGCGTTTGTGTGGACTCGCCGGCCAACTCACATACTGTATGTTTGTCATAGATCTGTGTAGCAGATTCTCTAGTTGAGAAACTCAATCACATCACACTCCAGCTGTTCCTTTCACCTTGCATATTTAAATCTTTCTTCCAGAGGGATATGATGTTGTGGATGCGACCTCTTTTCTAAATGACGACATGATAGAGGACGATGACGGTGCCAGCTCGTCTGCCTATGCAGAGCTGGAGAGGCTGGAGAGAGAGACGGTGGCTGCTCGCAGCCAGCACAGTACTAGCTCCACCGTAACGGCCATCTCGGTGCCCCCGGCAACGCCGCCATCGTACAGGGTCCCTAGTGCCTCGCCCATGGCCACGACTGAGCCGCCCGTCCCTCAAGCCATCCAGGCCTTCAAGGAATCCGCAAACATGGTCGCCGCCTTCAACATGCAGTGGAAGGACGAGATCTCGGCCATGCGCTACGAGCTGGCAGAGCTGCGGCGAGATGTCTGCGGGGAGCTGAAGACTTTCAACAGCAACTTCTTCAACTTCACTCAGTGCTACAACATGTGGACATTGTGTCGAGAGCCGTGCAGCGATGGCGCCACGCAAACGCAAGACAGAGTCTCCATTGGAATCCAAGCGGGATCCAGCTGGTCGATCCGGCAGCACACACAGGACAAGTCAGTGATGTGTCAACCTGAACCGGCACCGTTTAGCATCATGGATTTCATGAACCCACCCCGAATTGAGATCATAGAGGGAACCCCCGAGAGCACACCAGAGGGCTCGGGCAGCCCTGCAAGCCCGCTTCCGATCGAGGATTTCCCATGGGAGATCAACAAAAAGCAAAGGGTCCCTAAGCCGCAGGAAATGTGCGGCCAGACAGGCGGCCACAGAAGTGCCAGTCTTGAACTGTGGTGCAGGAAGTACACCAGTGGGCCCATGTCATATATGTCAATGTCGTTCTAATCACGCCCATCTGTCATTCCAAAGGACGGCGTGGGGAAGCCATTATACCACTCGGCGTTCACGTAAAAAGGCTGTTGTTCGTCCCTTTACGCTTTGCAGACACAGTCTGTCATCTGTTACAAAGTTCCTTTAGCAGCCTCCGAGAGACCCCTTGTGTGATTTCACCTTCAGACTGAGGTGACACGTGAATGTGAGCGAGATGGTAGCTGATCTTGAGATCAACAAGTGCCAATGAGAGCAGCATTGTCTTTCCTCGTTTGTCAGGGGGGGACCCAGACAAAAAAAAAACCCTAAAATTCCCATTCAAGTAAAATGATCGACCGGTAGTACTTGATTTGGAGAGCAATAAGTCCCAAGGAAGACAGCATTGTCTTTCCTCGTTTGTCAGGGGGGGACCCAGACAAAAAAAAAACCCTAAAATTCCCATTCAAGTAAAATGATCGACCGGTAATATCTGACGGTCAATTCACAAGGTGGTTTGTCTCTGCACACGTATATTAATTCACGTTCATTCCAGTTTCTCCATGTAGAAACATTTCTACCACCTGCGTATACTGTGAATAACTTTACAAACCCTTCAACTAATTTTGTGATGAGTGCAACATAAAAAATGATAGGCAAGTATGACTATATTTAAATGATTCCAATCAATGTGTTCTCTCACAACGGCCTTCAGTTTATACTTTTGTTTTAAGCCAATTTTGAATATTTCAACGAATAAAGTTTATGTGGGTTGACCACCCAAATTAAAAAGGACAGTTTTGGGGGGGAAGTGGGATGGGGCGGGACCAAACCCTCAATAGAAGGGTTTCAAAACATTGTAGCTTGAGGTTATGAACCATAAAATGAATGAAAAGTCTCTTTAAAAATGATCATTTAGAACAAATAAGGATGGCTTCAAAAGCTCCATTTTTGTTCCAGTCATGTTTGTATATAATTGTACAATTTTGTATAAATACATAAATATATATATAAATATATATATATTATATTCAAATACTTACTGTGCCAGTTTTACCGGTTGCAGTTAAAACATACTGTGTTGGATGAGGGGTGAAATAGAAAACCGGAGTAAATTGGGTTCAAAACCAAACACAAGCACCTTTTTCCAAGTCTCTGAGGCCGTTTCTTTCATCGTGTCCATCACCTGGGTGGTAGCAACGGTCATTGAAAATCTGTTTGCCTGAACAACATTTTGGTTGTTTGATTATTTCTCTGCATGAGTCAAAAAAAATCCCCCTACAATTTGGCCACAGTTTCAACTCTTGCTGCAGAAAGACCAGTCCCCAAACGTACAGTAGACAATCAGAGCCACTGAGGGGCTCTACCTCGCCGAAAAGTCCCCAGAGGTACAGTACGGTACCAGTGAATGTACTCACACCGCCTCACTAGTGATGGCCTAGCAGGGCTCCCGACTCATCTTAAAGGGTGGGAGTCACCGTTGAGTTTGTCGGTCATGAGCCACTAGCATTCCCTCCTGCTATTCATCCACTCCCTTATCTCGTTGTCCCAGCGCGGTGTACCAAAGTTGAGGCCCAAGCCAGCGGGGCGGACGTTTTTAAGCAAGTTAGACCCGGACCTTGGCAGGGCCATGGAAAATTGTGATGGATCACGGGCCTGACTTAAATGTGAACCTGTCAATGGGACGACTGTGCTGAGAATGGAGCTCCTTCCCATTTTCTGCTGCAGCAATTTGTGAGGCATGTTTACTTCAGGAAATTATTTGAAAGTGCTCTATAAATACAGTTGAGTTGAGTTTAAAAAATTTTAACTAGGTGGGATGGGCATTCGGCCAAATTTCCTCGATTGAATCACGATGACGTTAACCATAAAAATGATTCCTATTGCTATCTACTATTCATTTTAAATGCATGAAAATACTAGGGAGAGTGGGATTCATCCATATTTTAAGAACAATCATTTTGACAATTACATGCTTTGTAACAAAAGAAAAAAAAAACCAAACGCACTAACTTACAATAAGCCTGTTCACTTTAAACATAAAAAAAGCATTATAAAGTGGAAACTTAAACACTTACTGTTTTTTGTTAACATCAATATGAACAGTTTCGAGACTGTAATTGCATCACATCTATAAGAAATGCCCACCTGCTGTCGAGCATCAGTGTGTGGAGTTGCGATCAAGGGATGGGAGAATCTCGCTCTGAATGTTCTCAACTCCTGTTTCCATTCTAGAGGCATATGAATCGCACCGTAATGGAGATTTCTGTGTGGCCGTAGCTCAACTTAGCCATATCTGACGCGGCAGGCTGCAAAATAGTCAAGAGTGAAGCAACAGCGCCTCTGCTGGTTGCAATTTTGTACTACACATCATTCATCCCCAAACCATCAGCATACTTCACTCTGAATGATCTATTCAAATACTGGTCAGTTATCATGCCGATCCCGAGGAGTCATACTTTGTTACAAAGAATAAATTGCTTTGGGCGTTGGAAGGTTGAGTTTGCAGCTCAACCAAGTGGGGTTAAAGGTGACAAATGGTAAAAGGTTCAAATTCATTGTTGCTATAGCCCACATGTGCAATACTTCAGATTTTCTGTTGTCATATACCTAAATGTTAAAAAAAAGAAATCAAAAAGCAGGTTTATAATGATTTCAGTGAAGGCATACGACTGTGAAATATCTCGCTTCTAAAGATGATTTCTATGTATACATATACAGTATATTGAAAAATGACATTATTCGGGACAACTGCAATGGCATTTCTCAACATTATTTTCTCCTTTGCTGGGGGAATGTAAGGTGATTTTTAAGGTGCTGGCCAATCATGATGTCTCCAATCTGTATACATTCATTCTATGCAAATTCTTGGTTCTTTGGTGTATTATGAGTTATATTAAGTTGCCCGTGATAGAATGGTCTTTTCTTTTGGTGACATTTTGTTTTCAAATTGTGTTGTAATAAACTCAAGTTCCTTTCTGCACTTGCCTGTTTTCAGTGATCACAATCCAATCTTGATAGCTGAGGAATATCTCTCATCAGTAGCATCATGTACTCGCGCTCATGTACTCATAAATGTTGCTGATTTGAAATATTGTGCAAAGTCATATTTTTCTCCAAAAACCAACCAAAAAAATTCGGGAAAACAATTTGAGTTTCATCTTAACGCCATCCTTTTTTCAAAGAATGTACCCATCCCTTGATATAAGTCAAGAAATGTAGCAACAACAATCAATACACTGGCCAAGAAATGATTTTTAGCAACAATAATCAATACACTGGCCAAGAAATGATTTTAGGATAAACACATGAAAAAGAAACATTTTAAAAGAGAGAGGAAATGGGAAAAGGCTGTGATTTTGCCACTGAAATACATGATTGGCTGTTTGTTTGAAAATTCTGTTGCGAATATGTTGTCACTCAGAGATCTAATGAAACAACTGTGCCAAATCTAGGACATGTCGCTATTAGAACAAAAGCTACTGAATGGCTCTTCATTTTTTTTTTTTTAAGCCCTTGGTTCTCTTCATGAATTTCTTCAAAAGGAAATGTGCTTCTCTCTTTTGCGTCGGTCATGATGCAATTTTCAGGAATCTTACACTGCAATGTTGAGAGAATCAGATTATGTCCGTGTTCGAAATCACCCCTTTGGAATACGATCGCTTAGCCTGCATTTGTTAGCTTGCGCTTATATTTTGTAAATGGATGAAACATGGATGTGATACTTTTGCTTTCAAATTATGTTTGCTCACTGTGGTGTTTTTTGTGAATTTTTATTATTCCGATTTTTCTTGGCCTTATGTATTTTTCATAAATTGATATAAAATGTTGAATTAAAAATGCTTATCATGTTTATGTTGATGCTAATTTAATGGGGGTCATAGCTTTACAATAACATCCAAGCAAGCAGTTGCACAACAGCGAACTATTTACCCTAAAACACATCCAAAATTATTTTACGGCTCTCGAAGCTTTTCCTTCCTTCCTTTCTTTTTTTCTTTTTAAGAAAGCTGTCATTTTTTTGGTTGGTTATTATTTCCTTTTTCTTTTATTCCCCATTTTAGGCGCCCGTAGCTTAGCTGGGGGGCGTAGAGAGTACGGTAGGTCCGGTAGGGAACAGCTTTATTATTTCTTTCTTTTATATGTTTCATACATTTTGTCTGACCCATTGACATTTTTCACTCGGTAAAAATGAAAATATCATGCTCACCCGAGTGTATTTCAACTGTCTTCATTTTACTCACATTGAAGTCAATGGAAAGTTTGTGTACTTGTACTTGCTAAAGGAAAAAAAAAAAACAACAACAAAGTTGCCATCATGTTAGCCATAGCACGCCATCGTAGTTATGTTGGCAACTATTCAAATCTCTCTTATTTCATCTCATTCTGAAGGATAACTTAACACAGCTTTTTTTTTAATTCAATATTTTGTTTTGTTTTTTTGCTGTTTAGTTTCATTCCTTTAAAATGATCAGTCTGTTAAATCCTTTAATGCATCCTCTTGCTTTAACCATTTGACTGAATCAATTATGGCGACTGTATCTTGCTCTTTTTCATATACTGGCATGCAGTCAGGCAGGTTAAGACTAAATCGGCAGCTTTGTTCTACAAACCAGCACAAATCAGTGCTCCTGTTATAGCTCTGAATAATAACGTGTCATTTCCACTTCTGCAAGAAATAGTGGAGCCTCAAATTCAGACAGCCCTTAGGTTGCGCAAATCCGAATTCAACTACAGTGTTCGAACTGCTATCACGCTTGAAGTGCAATCTCAGTTTATCTTACTTCAGTTCAGCAAGGATCTAATGATTTTTTTTTTTTGGAGGGGGGGGCTTTTTTTGCATTCCCCCACCCTCAAAAGAAGAATGTAGTACAGTAAAAGACTCAAGCATGCCGCTGTGTGTGATGAAATAGCAGAAGAGGGAATGTTACATATTATTGAGTAACAGAAAAGAAATCTGTGAAATTAAACAAAAACAAATCTTGTACACGTGACAGATTTATTAATGTTGGTGATCCATGAACTAAATTATTTGAATGCTCTCTATTACAATTTTTTGTTTGTTTTTTTGGAAACAAATCAAAAGTTAACTAGCGTCTCGGAACAGATTGTTCGTCTTTACACTGTAGTTTCCACTCCAAAGCCTTTTATGAACCAATAAAAAGAAAATGAGGTTCTTTTATTCTATTGTTGTGAAGAGCAGGGTCGTAACTTTAAAAGAGTATGTATGTTTTTGCTCAGGCTGAAAGGACTCCATCGAAATGACGTCGAGTCGGCCGCTTTAGCCATACGTGTGCTCCGTGGCTCCCCCCTGAAGTTTGACCGTTTAATTTTTCAAAAACAGCTCGACAGCGGCCTTTGTGAAAACTTAACTTCTTGAAATGAACACCATATCTAACTTTTTCTTATGTTTATTGCTTCTTTAAAATTAATTGTTTGGAGCGATTTATCATTTGGGGAAAGCCAAAACACCTAAACCTAGTAAAAAGACAAATTATTCAGATCATAAACTTGTTGACACTGATTTGTCCTGGTTTGTTGTGATCTTATCATACATGTAAGGTTGCACCGCCTTGCATCCATGGGGGCATCACCACTGTATGTATCTATGTATGTGGCGACCAAACAACATGCTTGTTTTGTTGTGAAAAATTCTATTGACATGACATATACAGTAAATATAGATGATATTAAAAAAAAAAACATACCTTTTGAATTTCGGAAATCCCAACGGCAGAAGCATGCACACCCTCGGGTGTCCTTAGATGTCCTCTGTCAGATCACTCATACTGTACATCTCTCCATCCACTCGCCCATCGTCATGAACCAGCCCTCACGCTCGAAAGGTCATCATGATCCAACGACCTACGACATGCAGACGCACAGAATAGATCTTGTACGTTAATCAAGAAAAGCCACTGAAGGGTGCAGTTTTCTTCAGGAGCACAACAATCGATAACTTCAATCTTTAAAATGATACAGGAACGGCATCAAGACAGATCCGGATTTACCAATCCAAACCAAACTGGGTGGAAACGTGGTTCAGGTGACCCAGGAAGCCGAGGTTGGAAATGGAGTTAATGTCGGAATTAATTTTGACGACATCACATGGCAAAAATTGATGAGGTGGTGTGGCCAAAGGTGATTGTGAGTGATACTTTTTTTTTGGTTTTGTTTCAGTGAGGTTGCTTTTTCCTCACTGAGATGATGTCACTGGAATACAAACTGTCACTGCTTATCAAGCTGTTTGGCAGAGCGCCGAGATTAAACGTTTCCCGTTAAAGGATTAGTTTTTGTGCTTTCCAGGCTTTAGAAGACTAATATTTATCCTAATCTTCATTTACATATGATTGTCCCCGCAAAAATGGAATGAGGCAGGATTATCATAGCGCGCGCACGACACAATCACTCTGTTCCATTTCCAGCCCCCATGCTCATGCACAGCTCGTCAGTCATTGCACGTCATTAAGCACCGATCCGCCCTGATCTGCGTCAGAGCGGCCTCTCACCAGCCTCTCTGCCAGCCCTGCATCGCAACTGTGGCAAAGGCGGCGTCTGGCGCGAGTGGACGGAGTCGCAAGGCGCGGAGTGACTGTTCAAACTGTTGCAACGACCGTTTTGAAACTTAAGTGCAGATCGCAAAAGTGTACAGTCTTTTAGATTTAAGATTCAGACACAAGTCCTTGGAAGTGTCATTTTGTCTTTGGAGCGAGCGTGTCAAATTGTACTCTACATGGTCTAGTCCAGTAAGTCATGTTAAAAAAAAAAAAAAATACTGTATTACGTCTTCCCTAAGGCACTCCAGAGGTGTCATATTATTCTTTGTTTAAATAATAATGAAGTGATCTATTTAAATAATAATGAAGTGATCTATTTCAACATTTGACTTTGTTTTATACTTGTCTTGTGAATATGTGTACGTATTGTACATTAAGATAATGTGCCATGTCTGCTTTGAGATGATGCATGCGGAGTATGATGTGGATTGCTTTTTACAAAGGACATCATGATACATGGGCAACATATTGACTTAAATTCGGACTGACAAATGTTGTCAAGCATTGAGGTTTTTTTTTCCTTTTTTTTTTAGGAAGGATAATATTTGGACACTATGAACTGATTATTAGATCTGAGAAAATTAGTCGCCCACTGTATGATGACATTGGAAGTGGCAAAAGAAACACAGGTCAAGCTGGACAACCAGAGCAATTATATTTTAATATTACCTATTAAATTGTCTTTGGACATCAATCGGACTCATTAGACACTGTGAAAAAGAGACTGCAGTAAATCCAGAATAACTGTGTTCCTTTCCGGAGTGATGTAACAAATGCATTTGGAAGGGACAAGAATGTCAACTATTGGTTTCAGAAGTCAGTTTGTTTTGGTTTGTAAATGTAGTCCATGAGCGTTTTTATCTGTGTCACACTTGGACAAGCCTCCAATAACTGGCTCCGCTTGGCTCTTGCAGGCATTCAGTTTCGTCTCCCTACTTCATGCAGTGTGGACCGCGCTCAGCCACCACCAGGTACCAGTCGGTCGCCATCTTTGAGATTTATTTCATGTAACCGGTGAATGTACGAAAGGCTAACTCAGGGTGTTTTTTTTTTTTTGTTTGTGAGTTACTTATTAAAAATAATATTTGAAGTCATTACTACAAATCTGTGATCTGCGACCCACCACTAGAGGGTGATGTTGTGATTTTAAAAAAGCAAAGGTGTGTGCCTGCCTCCAAGAGGACCGGAGTGGAAAAGTATGGCTCGTCATCTCAAAATTTCTGATTCAAACAGATGGGCATGCGCGGTAGTTATCTTTTTCTGCGCTGCTCTTCTTTTGTTTCCACCTACACAGATGGCCTCGTCTCCATCTTTTCAGACACGCTTGCAGTCTTGAAATGGCAACGGGTCAGTGAGGAGAAGGAGATAATTACATCAGGAGCAAGTGTAAAGTTGTTATTTTGTCTTTAGCTGCTGGAGGGCGTCCCTTTGTCTTGACCGAGGGAGGACGGATGAGGGTTACTTAAGAAACTTGTCAGACACCGTCTCGAGTGAACGTGCATTAGGATGTGGCTAAATACAGTAACTATCTAGAACCAGACTCGCATTCATCTTTTCGGTACTCGCAGGAGGTTTTAGATGAGTAGCAGGCAGATTTGATCGCAATGACATTAAGGTTGATTTATTCCCGACACAACCTCCAGTGTCTGTTGACTGAAATATGCAGCAGTCACATTCAAAGACGGGCAGACGGAGCGAGCAGCACAAAGGACGGAATGCCACAACCAATCTTTCCGCTAAATTAGTCCAGACTTGTAGTTTTAAGTCTCTTAATGGTGTGCTTTATTTGAAGGCCTTTGGGGATGACATGCTCCAGAGGGGCGAGCGAAGTCGATGACATTAAATGGCCACAAGCAAAACAATTTGGCAGAAATACGCTAGGCTCCATTACATCTTAAATTCATTTTGGATTATTTGTTGATCAATGTCTTCAGCTTCTTGGCCTTGCTTCATTTTTACCCTCGGGTCCATTGACACAACACTTTATATGTGGATTGTTAAAACCAAATTTGCTTTGTCATTCATTTTGATTACGAGACATTTTTAAAGCCCGAAGAACAAATTAGAAAACGGGTCATTAAGACTTCATTATTATTCCCCGTGTAAAAGCCGAAATGGGTCGTCTGTGTAAAATGGAAGACACGCACCTGTGTTCGGCAACTGTGAAGTGGCACCGCAAAATATGGTTTTAAAATTATTCATTATAGCTTCGAGGCATATATTTTCATGTGGACTCATTATTGCGGTCGATACAACTGAATTGGGTGACTTTTTTTTTCCCAGCCTCAGAGGGTGAGCCTACATTTTGGAGTTGCTCCACCCAAATTGATGGAAGAATCTGCACAGTCAGAAAAGCACACAACTCTGCACATTTTCCTTCTTACACACCTGAGAGAATATGGCCCCTGATGTTTATTTACAGACTTAACCACTTCGCAGGCTAATTGGCTGCCATGCATATTGGGTTTTTTTTCAGATCCATGTAAATAGGCATTGTTTTTTTTTTCCGGCAACCTTGTTGTCTCTACATAAATCCTTTAGAAAATTGAAAAAGAAAAAAAAGAGCAACAAACTGATGTCGTGTAAAAGTGCCCTTGTCTTAATTGAAACTGTGGTCTTTCGTTTGCAGTAGTCAGGTGGTGAGTCCAGCCTACATGTTACACGTTTGGTGTTGAAATTTAGTCTGCTGGCTCAAAGATGTATAAATAGACATTCTGGTGTTTCATATCGCCTGAGTCACAAAGCTTCGTTTTGGAATCCACCCACTGTCTCCCGCAGCACTGCAGCCCCTTCGAGTTGGAAGGAAGTCAAGTCTGTGATGGGATTTGTCTTTACAGCATTCTTGTGGCTTGATTGCAATTAACTCAGAGCCAAATAGTCTGCATGCTTGTGTGTGTGTGTGTGTGTGTGTGTGTGTGTGTGTGTGTGTGCGCGCGCGTTGACTGCTGTGGCTACACCTGCTAACATTGATGCATGTGTTTTAGCAAGCAACAGATTGCCCAATTTTTCAGTTATCTCTATTTTGTCCACTTTGTGGAGAGCTGTTGTTTTAGTTTCTCCCATTTTCGTTCCTTGTAGACATAGTTGCCAGCGTCCCAATAGTTTTGCTCACTGCACCGTTCCAGTGAGTTTCTCAAAAAGTCCCTTCTGTGACTCAATGAGAGGACTAAAAATGCAGTTACACTGATGACTCCCACTCAGCTTTTTATTTTGCTCTTGATCGGGAAAATCTCCTCTTTGAACTTTCATTTCACGGCACGAGTAACTGCAGACATTTTACACACAGGTGTTTTGCAACTTACAGATGACATTTATCCTGCTAAAAGTGTCTGAGTTCCCATCATGCTTTTCAGTCGCTTGCTTCTAACCTCTGGGAATTGTTTTTTTTTCCTCCGTTAACTTTTGGTTTTTCATTCATTTTCTACCCTTGTTTTGCCTTGTCTTCGTCCTGTCCATCCTTGCTCGTGCTATCCAGCGGTGTCATATCCTCCTAGTTACAAGAAGACCCCACCTCCTGTGCCCCCGCGCGCCACCACCAAGCCTCTTATCTCTGTGACAGCCCAGAGCAGCACCGAGTCCACCCAAGATGCCTACCAGGAGGGGAGGCAACCGCGAGGCGGTCTGTGGGCCACCGACAGCCTCGGACGTCCCATCTACAGCTCCATGGACAGTCTGGACAGCTCCAAAGCGGTCACGATGGCCATGGAGTCCGCGGCGCCCAAGAGGCACGCGTCTTTGGGTAGCCACAGCTCCATCCAGACATGCGACAAAGCCGTGTTGGTATCCAAGGCGGAAGAGTACCTCAAAACCCCGAGATCCTCTATCGGGATACAGGTATGTACAGGCAGTCACTGCACACAGACACACACACAACAGTATAACACACCACTCAGAGGTTGTGCAAGAAATACTAACCATGGCGCAGTGGAAGAATGCATGTGAGCAAGTCCAAGCCGCTCTTTTGAGTTATAGACACGTTTGTTTACCTTATGTTTTGACTGTCAAGTTGTGCCGTCTCTTCAACAGGTGGAAACTGTGACAGACTCAGAGACTGAGAGCAAAGGCCTTCCTCAGTTTCACTCGATAGGTATCCAGGTGGAGGATCACAAAAGGTACATGACATTTTCCTTTTTTGTCAAATCTTCACAAACCGTGACGATGATTCTAAACCATGTCCTGGATTTGTATGTCAATATTAATCAGATGACCTATGCACATTTAGGCGTGGGCGGGTCAAGCGCTCCAACAGTGTTACCACTGCAGTGCAAGCCGACATGGAGCTGGAGGGCTTCCCCTCCATGGAAGACAAAGGTCTGCAGTTCGGTGGCGCTTTCGGTCGCCACTCTGAGCCAAGCACGCCCACGCAGTACGGAGCCATCCGGACGGTGCGCACACAGGGCCTGTTTAGCTACAGGGAGGACTACCGAGTCTCCAGTGGGCCCCCCAGCCCACAGCCTGAACCCTGGCTGGCTGAACCCAGCCTGGAGGCCAGCGAGACGGGTCGAGTGTCTCCTCTTCGCAGGGACGGAGGCTGGTTCATGCAGCTTCTTCATAATGAATCCAAAAGGATGGAGGAATGGTGTAAAGAGATGGAGAGGGAGGCCGAGGAGCATGATCTGTCGGAGGAGAGTGAGCATCTCTCTTTCCACTTTTGTCTTAAATCCACGTTTGTTGTAGGACACTAATATTAGTTGTATCTTCTGCCAGATGAAATTTCCCACAGTTAATTAAAGAGTTGGAGTCAAAAAATACTGCTAAACATGTTTTTCTTTTTGTGTTTGCAGTCCTAGGTAAAATCCGGAGTGCGGTGGGAAGTGCCCAGCTGCTCATGTCCCAAAAGTTTCAGCAGTTTTACTGGCTTTGTCAGCAAAATCTGGTGAGTGATGGACAGCAAAACCTTTACGTACTGTTGAAAATCCCCTCACTACTGCGCAACATGCTTTTAATTTGCTTCGTAGAGGGTTGCATTATGGGTAAACGTCCCCCTCTCTCCATGCCTGTGCTTCGAGAATCGAGTTAGCCCCTCCAGCAATAGACCGCAGCGATCAATAGAGAAACGGTCCCTCCGCCGCCGTCAAGCCATCAGGAAACGAAAGGGGAATTCCAATCGGAAAGACTTGAGCGCTTCCATTAATTCACAAAGGCAGCAGTTTGAATTGGGCCTGAGAGTCTGGATAAATGGACTGCCACTGCATTCTTTGTCCTCATATCCGCAGCGGCTAGACAACTGACCACCTGTACAATCTAACAAGAGCAAAAGAGCTGCAGAAAAAAAAAATCTACTTTTATTGAGACGATAAATATTCGATTTGAATGACATTGTCAAGGAGATAACTCTTAAATGTTTTAAGGTTGTTCTCTGCAGGGGTGTCAAACGGCAGTACACTTATCATACTGTTTGCCATTTTTGGTTCGGACATATTTCTACAGGAGCGTCAAAACACGTCATTATAGACTGTAATGCTCTAATTAGCAATTAGCATAATTCATCAACCGGTTTCCACACACTGTAGCCACACCACAGCACACCATTTCAGTAGAACTACTGTCAATTGACCATAAAGATAAACAAATGAGATATATATATATATATACAATACAATGAGGAATAAAATATACTCACCGAGACAAAATGCAGCATTCTGTCCTTTTGTCCTGATGGGAGTGTTTAATCCCTGTTGTGAGCATCCACAGTCGAGGCTAATGTTTACAACAGTAGTCAAAATAGCTTGCCAACTGTCAAGCACGACTAAAATCTAATTCATGGTACCCTTACGCCACTGTGTGTTGAAAAAAAAAGTGTGGAATACGATTCAGAAAATATAAATGACAGGTAAGTACAGGTGCAATTTGGCAAACTCAATTAGCATTACTATTCGGACCGACGAATCAAATGCCGTTCTCGTTTCCTGGTCATGGCAGTGACTATTCGTGAAATCATTGGTCAACAGAGCTCTCAATCATTCTGTTCAACCATTTGATTGGTCACACAAAGTACGCATACGCCTGACAAGTAAATGTGTTTTTATTCGTCTCTGACGTCGGTTACTAAAAAGATTACTTTGACTAAAAGTAAAATTTTAGTTTGAATAATTACGTTTTAATTTTAGTTTAATGTGCAATTGTTAAAAATACTTTTTTTATTCAATCAACATGTGGCGGACTGTGATCCTTTATACATTATCCAAATTTGGTGTATTTTTCCAAATTTTCTTTTGAAATGTTTGCTTTATAGTATATGCGAAGGGCATAATTTGGTAACAGACATACAACAAACGCATTCCATATGAGCACAGAATGGATGCAAGAGAATAATTGTCATTTTTACAAGATTTCCTTTGGTGCATCACTGCGACCTAGTGGCAAGCCATGGTGAAACTACCATTGTGTAGAAGCTGTTGGGTACTCAAACTTTTATTGGCGGTGCTGTCTGTTCACTTTTAGCTGGTTTGATGTAAAAAAAAAAAATATATATATATATATATATATATATATAAATATTAATAATCCAGTTTTTGTTTTTCAACCAAGGACCCAAGCGCCATGCCCAGACCCACATCTCAGGATCTGGCCGGATTCTGGGACCTCTTGCAGCTTTCCATTGAAGACGTCACTGCCAAATTCGAAGAGCTGCAGCAGATCAAGAACAACCAGTGGCAGCTGGTGGAGAGTCCTGAGAAGAAGGTATCAGAATTTATCATGAAGGTTCACTGTTCTAGATTGTACTGAAATTAGGTAATGTCCTGAATAATGAAGAGACCTGTTCCATGTGTTCCCGTCTTTCCCAAGGATCGAAAGTGGATTCCTCCTCTGACCAAGAGGCCCTCCAGGGGCCGTGGTGGCGTGATGCGGGAGCGATCCCTGGACCTCCAGGACCGCCAGCGTCAGGAAGCCCGTAGACGGCTCATGGCCGCCAAGCGTGCGGCGTCGTTCAGACAGAACTCGGCCACCGAGCGGGCTGACAGCATCGAGATCTACATCCCGGAAGCTCAGACGAGGCTTTGAGGTCCACGGATTCATCCTTGGTCACCATTGTTGTGTTTCCCATCCAACACCAGCTCTCGGCATCACATCTATCTTCCATCACTCATTTAAAGATGTATTGCCATTTACTATAGCCTTTATTTCAAAATGCAGTCTACAAATCAACTCTGCAAATTATGAGGGGTGCGGTGCTTGAAGCAAGCTCAAACAACCTTTTTCCCCTTCAGTTATTATGAGTTGATCAAGAGCCTTGTAGGTGAGCTGCTATTGCCCCAAATCAACACTCGATTTATATATTTTGTTGCCCATTGTAAATTAAGTAATAATTTGGTAGGAGTCAAGTCCTTAAAATAATCCCAGTTGAGAATTCCACATTGCCATTTCCACCTTCATCCATTTGACTCATGGAACTGATTTTTCTTGTCTGCTGCCGGTTGCGTTCACAGTGCAGAACAACAGGAAGAGGAGAGTACGGAACAAAGCATTTTTGCGCCTTACGATATTCATGTTTGTATTTCCAAGGGAAATGTAGTTTATGAAGCTCACATGATAATGTTGCAGTTGAATTGCAAAGGACAGTTTTTTTTTTTTGGTTCTTTTTTTTTCATGCCATTCTGCATGATTCATTCGGATATTCTGATAAGTATACTTACATTGGAATCTGCATTTAGTAGTGACAGGACCGTTGGTTGTTTTAACAGATCATTTGCATCGGTTGACATTAGGGCATGCGTCTACGCTGCAGCATTTAGCTCGGATTTCACACACACACACACAAAAAAAAAAAAACGCCATTTAGTCAACAAAAGAGAGGCGCAAATGACACTTTAACACTGGTCAGTTACTATAGTAAATGGTGCTGCTTTTTACTCTCCAAATGTTGTCCTTAACCCGGGCCTACGCACACACTGACACACTCAAGGACTTTTTAAAACAGATTTATCAACATGGTGCCCGTTGTCTCCGCGCTGGTGTGTGTGCTCCATTGTGACATTAGGAAGGATCATCTTTGCAATGCGCCCGCCCGCGCACGTGTCCGAAACAAAAAAGTCCTCTGTGCAAAGACGTCAGGGATATTTGGGCGAGAAACTACACGTGTTAAGTACGGTGAAGGGTCAACAAGGCACTACTGGCTAAATTAGGAGATTTTGAACGCACAAAACTTGATGTAATAACCAAATAGCTTCACGATCATTTGAATAGTATAGCTGGCCGTAAATGATTACAGTCACAATATGTAATGGAACTATAAACTGAAGGCTTCACAATCCTTTACATGGTTAGCTGGCTTGGAACCAGGAGAGTTGTGTCAATTTCATTGCCATGGCAACCACACAGCCCTTACTTCAGTATACTATAGATGGTGGACCAGCCTGGAAAGCTCCAGTTGCGTTGGCGTTATATTCTGTACATAGCCCACTGTCAGTTTTTGGTTGATAGCAGTGGATAATGTGTCAGGAACCTGAAACCAAAAAAAAAAAAAAAAAAAAACCCCATCAATTATTGCTTAACGTACATTAATGTAATTTATACAGATCTGTTTTTATTTTTCCTGCACTGACAAGACAAAATACCACTGGTCATGTTAATAATAAAGCCTTAAAGCCTCAGGTGGCTGGAATATCCCACAGCGGGTTGTCGCTGGGCTTTTTAACGTAGCAACAACAAGGCGGAATAAAACACGACAATTATATAAGTTTAATCAAAGTGTGTCCTCTAATTGACATCGCACGTATCTTCAAACTTGTAATCAGTCAGCGTATTTGAATGGTGACAAGCAGTCATAGTGCTTTTTAGCGACATGGTGTGTTCCACACTAAACATGGACCAGAGGAAGCAAAGGAGAGCGTTATCTCAGGAGATTAGGAATAAATTTAGTTTGGGTTCAGATGGAAGATTGGAAAACAAAGTTGATAAATAGTCACCATCTTTTATGTTGGATGTCCAATTTAATTTTTCGTCAAGGGGAATGCCGTCTTCTTGGCAGATCAAGAAGAGGATTTGCTATTTATTTTCGCTATTTACTTAAAGTGTTTTCTATTTCAGGCCCTTTTTTTGCATGTGAATGTAAAGTGGTGGGAATTTATGGGGAAGATTTATTCGGGCATATCTTGCACATATATAACTTGAGGATTTATTTAATGCTTACATGGGTGGTCTAGACACATCTGAGACCATTTGGGTTGTTTCCTGCATCACAGCTACATCAGTCAAGGACTATAATTAACTATTCAAGCAGATGTGTGTGTGTGTGTGTGTGTGTGTGTGTGTGTGTGTGTGTGTGTGTGTGTGTGTGTGTGTATTGTAGTGCTATGTGGTGAGGAATTTACAGGGTTTTAGATACATGGTGGGGTTAAAAAAAATGTGCCCTACCACTACCGCTATACATGTGTGACTTGCACATGCAGACACATTTACATTAGCTGGTATCTTGTGGGGCTATTAGTATATATATATAAATCACAATATCATGTGCATGATCAAGAGGACACCCAAAAAATATATTTGCTATGAAGGGGCTTTGGCAACTATGTACATGACAATTCCTCAGGTGCCTTACAGTGTTGATGCGCGTGATGGCTGCTGCTGCTGCTAATTCTTAGCATTAAAAAGGGCTGCAAACTGGTTCGAGTCAGACCTGACGGGGTCTGCCCGCCTTAGTAGGGGCAATGCAACATTCAAATTCACAATGCATCCTGAGTTGCAACCGCGCGAGTCAGGAGAGGAAAAGCATCAAGATCCCCCTGGGGTTTTAAAACATTTTTAAAATATGAACATATGGTTTCCTAATAGTTTTAGAGCGCAAAGGAAAGAGGGAAATTTGAAATAAAGTTGAAATCTGATTTTTTATTTATTGTGAAGGAGGAAGAGTAGGCCAACAAATGGCACTTTTTTGTTGTTTACCTTTAAAGGCCACCGTGCTTCATTTCGGACTACAATAAATGCAGTTTTGTTTTCGTCATCACACATGAGACTACAGACTACATATGAAGCATAAAATAATTTTCTGGTTCTAAAAGGCAGCCATTAATTTCATATAGAAGTGAAATATGCAAAAATAATATGTCAATTAAAGTGAAAATGGATGGTTAGTATGAAGGAGTATTAGTGGCACAGGAGGGAAAAAATTTGGTTAAAAAAAATCTAATTGTTTCCGTCAACATGTCATTTTTGGGATATCAAAAACCTAAGAGATTAATGTACGCACAGATTTGCTTGTGGAAGACGAAGAGGACTAAGATCCAGTAATGATGCAAATATTTTGCAGAGCATACAGACTATGTTGTGAGTCGAATAGCTAGGAGTGTAACAAAAACTGATTTGAATCGGGAAATCAGTTTTCATTTAAAAGATGCGAGTGCATGAAATCACACCGAATCGTTCCACTTTAAAATATTGAGATATGTAAAAAAAAAAAAAAAAAATTAAACCCTCTTTTACTGGAGAGCAATACCTTTGAAGGAAGTGCCACCCAGTATTGACAACTTCATTCATATGTATGTCAAATGACATCCAGAAACTCATCGCATCAACTGTTTCGAAATGAGCCGTACCAAATCGAATCGAATCGTCACCTGTATCGATGCTATTTCCATCGGCCCATGTTTTGCATCGTGTGTTAAGAGTTACCCAAGTTAGCAGACTTTTGTAAAACGAAACATATGTGATTTGGTCAAATATACCAGTAGGTGTCTTTGCTTTATGTTTAGTTTGGCTGTAAACTCACACAGCCAATTATCATCTATTATCCCCCCCCCCCCCCCCCCCCCCCAACCCCCACACACACACACACACACACACCACCTTTGGTCATGTGACATTCACTGCCACCATCTCGCGCCCGTAACGCAAATTATTCCTCGTAAAAAATAACAAAAAACGGCTAGGAGAAAGCTTGTGTCTTAAAAAAACCTCACTGATTGGGTGATTTGTAAGCCAATGCACCGCTGTTTTCAGATTTTTTTGTCTTTCCACTGTAGCCCCAAACCTCCTTCGTATTTTAGAGTACTCACAGATGGGCCATTTTACTGCCTTCGTAGGAGCTCATGTAACTTCTACCCTGAATTGCATATTCTAAATTAGAAAATCTTCTCCGATCGTTTCTATCGACATCAATAGGAGCAGCGAATCCACTCGTCTCGTTACCTCACTGCGTGGTGGGAGTTGTGGCAAACTCGACAGGTGGGCTTGGGGGCCACGATTGCGTACTATGCAGCATTTGTATGTGTGTGTTGGTCTCGGGTTATGATTTAGCTTTTTAATCGATCGACTTGGCGCCGATTGCATTTAACACCACATCAGAAAGTTTTTTACTGGTGCTCAATCTATTCTTGATTTATTTTTTTCGTTCATTCACACAATCCACACGCACACGCACACGCAGACGGCAGAACCCCGACGGCTGGATCTCCTGCTCCACCTTTAATTGAGAAGCTTTCTTTCCGCCCTTGTTTTGTGCACTGCAAAGATGTCCTTCGCTTTTTGTGCTCTCTCTCCTCATAAAATCCTTGATAAAGTCACCCCATCGTTGACACCCGGCTTTATCTGCTCCTCAAGCAATAAGCTTAGTTTACATGCTTAAAATCCGGGTCGTAATTCTATTTTGTAATTTTTTTTGGGGGGGTGGGGGGGGGGACACACACACTCCACACTATGCTTTTTAGAACAATATTGATCACTTAAGTCCTTTGGAATCCACTCACTCGCATTGTTATAATATTCTTTTTAGTTCATAATAAAATTATGAGGCGAGAGAGCAGTCACACTGATGTCTGATGTTTGCCTTTGATGGAGAAGTGTGTCGTGTTGTGGACGTTTTGGAAGAAAACAAAAAGGTTTTTAAAAAAAAGGCCTTTGAAGGGTTTTTGGAGTATGACAAATGTGATGGTGTAAAAGATTATTGTCCTTCTATTTTGAAATGTTGAGAAATATGAGGATGGATATAAATGCCAAATATTCTGTATTTGTAAAAAAAAATATATATAAATATAAATATATATATAATATACGCCTAATTTGAATGGAACTATTTTACGCGCTTGACCATGTTTTTGTTGTTTCAAAGACTTCTTTTGTCCACATGGTTTTTCCAGACTCTTTCAGATAGCATGCAGGGTAGTGAAAATGAATGTATTATTTAGTGTTTCATTGCTGGTCAGTATTACAGCAATCTACAGATTGGTTAGTGTTTCTAAGATTCATTTAAAAATTAATATTTCCTTTTTGAGGTTTCTTTACCCCCCCGGGCACATTAATGTACTTTTTTTTTTCATGCAAGGTTTGAATTCCCCAATTCATATCACTTTTTGATTTTCCTTTCTTGTTTTGTTTTTATTTGACTCTTTAAAACTACTGCCATCCATCATGTGTAAATAAAGATGCAAATTAAACTTTTTTGAAGAAAGCAGCAGGATTGGTTCACTTCTCACCTCCCGTTTAAATCTGCTTCAATTCCAAGTGGCGACTCAAGTTCCAAATACGCATTCGCGCTCCACGCCGATGCTCCTCTCTCTTCAGCTCCAGCAGCCATCCCATCCAGCCGCACCAACGCAGACTGAAAAATGCTGCCCATTACAGGCGCAAAAAAGAAGAGCGCCCCAACGCTGTTGAGCGGTAAGAAGCAGCCGAGTGAGAAGCGGTTGGAATCAGCATCTATATTTCTGAAAACGTGGTCCTCAGTCAAGAAAGGGAGGAGTAAGTAGTCACCTCTTGTGAAGCAGGCAAGTGGATGAAATGAATTTCCTTTTTCGTGTCCCCTCTGAGGGGCTCAAAGAGTAGGGCCGTTGTTCCGCATGGAGAAGCCAGATGAGGCGGCTCGGGTTCTGGCGAGGATGCCTCCTGGATGCTTCCCCGGTGAGGTGTTTTTTTGACTTGTGAT